ATGACATACGCCAATATTGTCTCCAGTGCATATTACTAGATCCAAGATGCATATAATAGATATTAAAGGTAATTTTGTTTCAGGTACTCTATGTGGTTTATAGTCATAAAATGTATCTACATTAAAACATAAATAAATTAAGAACTGAAGAAACTTCTTGGATGAGAAGAGACACATCTTCAAGGAAAAACGCTTTGGAACGATCTCCCCGTGGAGATTCGCACCCTCACCACCGTCCAGACCTTCCGCACAGCCCTCAAAATCTGGCTATCCCGTCAGGCCTGGGGAACCTCGCCCCACCCGAATGCTGAATGAATGTTGTGTTTTATTGGTTTATTTTTTTTATTCACATTTTCTTTTTGTGTCTTGTCCTGCACTCCTTCCCTATTAATTGTAAGCTGCCCTGAGTCCCCTCAGGGAAAAGGGCGGCATACAAATAAAGTAATCTATAATCTATAATCTATCTATGATTGTATTATTATTATATATTATTTATATTTTACATTATAAATAATTATTTTCAGAAGAGTACAAGATTGATGTTAATGTCATATTGAAAAAAAACACCTCTTACCTCCTACATTGTTTTTATAAGTATTATATAATTCTTTGACTCTTCTGTAACGGAATGCCAGCTTCCTCATCCAGTCAACTCCTCCTCTTACACCTGTTGGCAGACAAAGGTTTGCACTACTTGCAGCTGCATGGAAGCCATCAGTTGCAAAACTGTAGGTACTGCAAACACCCAAAATATGCAAAAGTGAATACTATTTCTTCCTAAAAATATATACTTATTTAAATTTGCTTCATTTTTTTTCAAGGCACATCTTACCTTAGATCTTGTCCATTGTCATCTGATGATACATCATCTATATGTACTTGATCACATTCCTAGTAAGATAATATGTTTTAGAATAGGGCAGCAATATCTTGTTTAATGTTTTACATTGATGCTTTAATGTGAAAAATCTAAATGAGGATTACCATCTCTATTGCCAGCAGATGGCAGAATATGAGCATTTACAATTTCATAAGGTGAAGCTATCATTTCTTTTTTCTCCAATATGATCAACTGGTATATTCCTAGATATACTGCAATACTTCAAAGATTGCTAAGTAGTAGATGAAAACACCCACACACCCCTCCCAAACAAAAACACGAATGATTCCACTTTGCTCCAATTAAGATTTGCAAGTCTTAACACAATACTTAAGTATATGTTCGCTTGTCCTGCATAAGAAGCCTCAATATAAAACACAAAATGAAAAATAAAAACTTATTATCATCAGAACTATGTCAATAAACAAAACTTAAAATCAATGTATATTATATAAATAAAAAAGTAATGCATAACTTTCAAAAATATCTGTTTATTCATGCTCCATTGTTGACTACACTGGCAAGCAATCATATTTATCTTTTTGAAAAATAAACAGACTTTTAAAAGAAAAATAACTGAATAAAAATGTATCCAACTGCAACAAATTCTTGATTGTACATTTTGCTTTTTCTGATGGTTTTATTAGTGGAAATAATATCTGAAAATATTGAATTTATGGCACCTGAACACCCAATTTTTAGAAAAATCACTCTGCCTGGAAAATAGCATCTATTTTCTTAAATGCTACCTTATTAATTGTTAGGCCCTTGGTTAGGACCTGATGTATTAAGTTTCTACCAGTCTTAGACTGTGAATATAATTGATAATTGCCCACATATAAAAATGATTATGTGATATTCATAATATAATAATACCCAAGTCTACTGGTTCACTAAGTTGAGACTTAAGCACTCAGGGTTATAATAGTTCTGGTCTTGCTTGTAAGACCAAAGATCAAATTTCAAAGGTGATAATTGTGACATCTCATCATTGTTGCAACCAATAACCTCAGTGCTCTCACTGGAGAAAGCAAATCTTTGGCACAGTGATGATACTTACTTTAATTAAGTAATAACTGGACTGATTCACAGAATTTTCTTTAGAGCAGTTAGAACTGCAACTAGTCCAGAATTTGATGGACAGGCTATTAAGAGGGAAAGCATGAAGGGAACAAACCACTTTACTGCAAAACTATACTGTCTTCCCATATGGAATTCAAAATGCTATGGCTGGTTCTTAAAGCTGTAGTTAAAAGAACTGAATTTCTTCTCTATATTAACCTCTTCCACCTGGTGAGATCCTCCTATATAGCAACATCTCCAGAAATATGTACCCAATTGGGACTAGAATTAAAAGCCTGTTTTGTGGCTAAATCTAGGATCTAATACTGCCTTCTATGGTGAACTGAGCATGGAAAGCAACCAATGTCTTGTTCAGTTATTTTGACACAGGGGAAGATACAACATTTGCACTGCTTTATTATGGGCTAGAGGCAAATTCCAGGCTATTAGGGACAATCTATAAAAGGACACTGCAGCATGCCTTGATATTATCAGGGCCTATGTCATTGATGGTAGGTATCCTTCCTTGAGCACAATTAGTTTTCCATTTCTAGTTGATTAAAAAAAATCATCATCACTGATGTAGTATGGCTATTTAATGTCATCATAAGAACTACATTTTAGAGCTCTAAGCAACTATTGCTGACTTTGTACTTTTTACATTTATGGTTGTTTCCTGCTTTTTTCTGGGAAGTATTTTCATATCAGGTTCTAAACAATTATGTCATATGTCACAACTTTGCTGTTAGTTACTTTGAATTCATACAAAAGGGCATGATGCAAAAGTTTCAATAAGATAACCAATACAAACATAGTTTTAAAAAAATCAGATTAATATGTCTCTTAAAATCTGAGCCCTACAAAATAAAATTTTAATACTCAGAATGAACAAAGGAAAAGTTACATGGGGAAAAATCCCAGTCAGGAATTGTAATTTCTTCCACAATTTGAGTGTGGAATAAATGCTCCTTTTTCTATTAAAAACTCAAAATTTCTTCTAGAATTTATAAAATTACAAAGATTCTGAAATAGAAGATTTGAGCCATAGCCATAAAGATGTAAATGGTCAAATTAGGAAGAATTCTTGCTTCCTTTCTTTAATTCATTTCTGCTTTATCAGCCTACTAATAGGTATCTGCAATTCTATTTCATTGTGAATTACCATTTCATTTTCTATGCATCATAAAGCAGAATGATTTTGGGATTTCAGAGCACATATCTCACCAATGGTCATGCTCCTGCTGCTACTTTGTTAATTGTTCCATTTGAATTGAGAATATGTGAAATATTTAGTTTAATGACATTCCTATCCCAGTAGAGTTAGATAGATTATAGATCAAGATTTCCAACAAATATATTGTTTATTATTGGTACATCCTAGGTTACACTTTCCAATCAAACTAGGTTTGACTCTCTTTCCTTGCTTTCTTTTTCCTGTTCTTTTCTTTCTCTGGCATTTGTTTCCTCTGTACTTGTTTATCTCATTGTTTTCATTCTATCTGCTGAACCCATTTTTAATTCTTTGAAACCCATAAGGAATGTTGGAAATAAATTATGCAAAAAGGCATCTTGTCCTTCCATCAACAGAGTAAATTTCCAAAGGCTGAGAAGCATGGAACCAAATTTGGTGGCAGGGTACTACAATAAATAATGAAGTTCAAAAATGGGTCAGGTGCTACAGGGAAAAAAACCCCACCTCCAATGGATCCCTATGGAAGAGGAGGCTAAACTAGAATATTGGCAATTGCATAATTCTAAGTTCTTAACTGTCAATCACATGATCCAGAGTGGAACTGTTATTAAAGGGTTGCACAGGAGAATGTTTCAGCACCTTGTTAAGATTATATAACAACAACAATACTTAGACTTATATTCTACAGTGCTTTATAGACCTTTCTAAGTGGTTTACAGAGTCAGCATATTGCCCCCAACAATCTGGCTTCTTCATTTTAATGGAAACTTAAGCTTTGAAAAGAAAGCTCTTGCAAAATGAGCATTTTCCCCAGGTTTCTCTTTCTGAGATCCTTGCAATGTTTATTACTCTTTGTAATGCTAGATGGATCTTTTTCTCATTCATGATTTTCTTTTTTGCTGATCTGCCTGACATTACTTCATGTGATCTCATTTGTTTTTCTCCGTTAGAAATTTTAAAGTCTTCCATCAAATCAACACTATTATAGAATAATTTTGAATATCCATTTTACCCTTGTCTCAAATTTGCAGTGTGGTGTAATATAGTTATGCAAGCAGTGATGAAAGGAATAGAAACGATTGATGTGTGATGCCACCAAGACATTATAAACTTTCCTTTGCCTCTGTACTTCCTAGGGACAAAAAATCTTGTTGTTAATCTCCACCTGGCAAAAGACAAAATGTCAGGCCTGCAGCGATTTCTTTAAGAATCTTTGGACTGCCACACACTTTCTCTCTATTTCTTTATTATGCTGTTTCATTAGTGGGGAATTCGGAGGGGGGATAGTAAGGAGTAGAATTGTAGAATGCGTTGTTGTCAAAATAGAACATTCCTTTCTAGAAGCCCAAGGTCATCTTTTGTCTCCGCACCTCTGCACCTGACCGGAACTAGATGGGTGGAGATGCCAGCATGGCAGAGGAAGATTGGACCATGTGATGAACTTGTGGGTGTGAGGACAAGATCATGAATTTTCAACTGAGTGGAAACCCTAGTTCAGATTCGGGTTCACAGTTTGTGCTAACATTTCTGTCTTATTAAATTGGAATTTTAAGGATAGCTCTGCCTTGGACTCTGATTTAATTCTGCATGATATTTGGAACCCTGACACAAAGATTTTGGAAACAAACAAACAAACAAAAGCATTCTGTCCCTTTTAATTTCCCATGTCTCTCCCTAGTACTAGGAAAGCAATTTAGGAAAAAACTGTAAACAGGCGGACTAGCAGACACATGGCTATTAATACATAAGATTTTACAGGAGTGTTTCTGTCTAGCTAGAATATATTTAGTAAATCAAATCCTTGATGTGAATCCCAGCTGAAGGTATTTGTAAATGTATTATCAAGTTATCTTTTATTAATGATTCACGGGTCTTTTGTTTTCATGTACTTTTTTTATTTTGAAAGATTATAAATTTGCCAGTCTTTAAAATTAGTGAGGATATACATTTTGTCTGCTGTTCTCTTTTTAAAAAATCCATTTATAATCTGGAAATATGATATAAATGTGGCTTATCTATTTCTCTGACTTAGAATAGAATAGAGTAACAGAGTTGGAAGGGAAGTGGGAGATCTTCTAGTCCAACCTCCTGCCTGGGCAGGGAACCCCATACTACTTCAGATAAATGGTTATCCAACATTTTCTTAAAAACTTCCAGTGTTGGAGCATTCACAACTTCTGGAGGCAAGTTGTTCCACTGATTAATTGTTCTAACTGTCAGGAAATTTCTCCTCAGTTCTAAGTTGCTTCTCTCCTTGATTAGACCCATTGCTTCTTGTTCTACCCTCAGGTGCCTTGGTGAATAGTTTGACTCCCTCTTCTTTGTGGCAACCCAAGATATTGGAAGACTGCTATCATGTCTCCCCTAGTCCTTCTTTTTATTAAACTAGACATGCCCAGTTCCTGCAACCGTTCTTCATATATTTTAGCCTCCAGTCCCCTAATCATCTTTGTTGCTCTTCTCTGCACTCTTTCTAAAGTCTCCACATATTTTTTAAATCATGACGACCAAAACTGAATGCAATATTCCAAGAATATTCTGTGGTACACCCTTTTTATTATTTTGTCATTTCCTGTTACATATTTTGAGGAACAAAATAGTGTTTTGTGCGCTATACGATTTGCAGAATTATTTGCAGAATTATTATTGAAAAAATTATAAAGTTATTTAAACTAAACCTCAAACCTGTCAAAATTTTAAGCTAACTATACATAAATCAATTCATGTATAATGAAGTTTTCAAGGCCATCAACCTAAATTAATTCCCTCCCATTTCCAGTGGAAATTTAAACTCTGCTTGCATAATATCAGAATCACTGCTATGTGGTTATAATAGAAATGAGGTAGAAATTGTGTTGTAAGGAAGCTCTCTGTTAATGTTAATTTAAGGTAAAATACCTTTTAAAACAGCTACAGAACTGGCTATACTCAAGTCACAGTGGGCCACTGGCTGTGCAAGTTCAAAACTAAGAAAGATAAAATATATTTTCCATTACTGAGCGTTTACAAATTCATTTTGACTGCTATAACATTAAATTAAATTACTATCTCGGTACAACTAGTTTCTTACCAAAGAATTCTTCAGAACTTGACATTTTTACTAAGGAGTATAAAACCTACAGTTGACCCACAAAAAAAATATTTTGGAAATATCAGTAATTTCATTATCCAATAAAAACAATGACTCACTGCTAGTAAAAACAAAAATTCTATTATGCAGATCTTAGCAGTTGCAGAATTAAGGGTGAAGAACAAATTCTATTCATCTTTATCTGACAGATAATAACAAATTTGGTATAGATTAACTGCCAAATGTAAGAGAAAAGATTTCCTTGACAGTAAAAATAAAATGTAGGCCAACTATTTGTATAATTTAAAGAGATAAGGAAAATAAAATTGGACTTAACAATCCAACATGTAAATATAACTTTAGCAAATCGTTGAAATGTTTTCTTAAAATTCATTATAAAACTACCCGATGCAAAATTCTGTAACATTAACGAACAATAGCATGGGATTTTTATTTTGCCTAAAAGTGGAACTGAGTTTAGAAACCATTCAGTGCTCTTGTGCATCTTTCTAAGTTTGACACTCATTCAAATCAGAATATTTTCCTGTACTAATTAAAATTTATAGGAATATAGGAACAAAAAGGAGGCTAGTGTACAGAATGTTCCCTGATCAAAAGATGAATACTCTGAATGTCAGGTTTCTGATATTTCTTATGAGCAAGTGAAAATACATTTTAAGCTAATAATGAGAAACGCCTTTCACCTCTTCTTGTTTCCTTTCAGAACTATCAACAGCTATTTTTGTTAGGTTTAGGAATTGGAGTTGTATGTCGAGATAGGACAGGCTGCAAAAATCATGAATAGATGTTGCTCCTATTGTTTGCTATGGGAGTTTCAAAAGTTCTTCATTCTTTTTTAACACCATTCCTTGGCAAATGTATTTGGGTGATAGTAGAACTGAGCATCTATTTTAATGGCTTAGGATGAAAATGAGAGAGCAAGCGGCTTCTTTTTAATTTTTATTATGTCCTATAGTAGAACAACGAAGTTAAAACTAATGGAATGTTCCAAAAAGATCTGATTTTTTAAAAGTTAATAGCAACATAATCTTGTTAATTATTTCCATATTTTGCCAATCTAACCATATAAAAAGTATCTGGGATAATGATATAGTTAACCTAGTTCACTCTTTATTTCTGGCTTCAAACAACTGGAAGTAGTAGAGATTATTGGAAATAGGTGTTCTAATATACATTATATTTTGTACATACCTCTAAATCATTGAAAAATAAATGAGTATCAGCAAGATTAAAAATCATTTCTTCCATGCGAAGTCCAAGAGTCACTGCTACAGGTGGATCCTGGTTGATTTAGGGGGAAACAGAAAAGGTATATATTCTCAGTACCATGTAATGGTCAATACAAATTTTAATTTTATACACTATACATGTATAATAGAAAAATAAAAAATTATTACAAATAATTAAACAAAAAATTAATAAGAATTCTACATAGAAATGAAATAGGTTTTTTTTCCTTTGTGGAGTGTAATGTTACACTTGAAGCAGAAATTCTTATTATCAAAATCTTGAACGATAAGTAACTGGAAAGAAAATGTAAAGGTAGTGAAAACAGGCATTTTAAAAATGAATATCACGGTTAACCTAAGATAGAACAATTACATAATACTGTGTTTTCCCGAAAACAAGACAGGGTCTTATTTTATTTTAACCCCTGAAATAAGCACTTGGCCTTATTTTCAGGGAGGACGTATTATTTGTGAGGTGTAGGAGGCAGTGAGTGTGGTCACCTTATGGCTGCTGCTGCATTGCAATATTTTCAGGCAGGGCTTATTTTCAGGGGGGGTATTTTAGCGCATGCGTTCAAAAGCTCAATTGGGCTTATTATACAGGGAGGTCTTATTTTCAGGGAATCAGGGTAGTTACAAACTAATTATTGTAATGAAAAATATTACTGAGACTATTAAAATATTGCTATGAAACAAAATATTTTTTTATCCAAATTAAAGAGCTTATCCAAGAATTACACCCTCAGTCCAGGAAAAAAAAAACCTTTCAATTTGTAATCCCAGCCGAGATGCCGAGGATAGGTCTAAAGTCGGACTTCCTGGGATGAGTTCGAATTTGTCACCCCTGAGGAAGTGGACAAGGCCATGGGAGTGATGAGCGCCTCCACCTGCTTACTGGACCCGTGCCCCTCCTGGTTGGTCTTGATCAACAGGGAGGTGACACGAGGTTGGCTCCAGCGATTACCAACGCATCTTTGCAGGAGGGGTCTTTCCCACAACCACTAAAGGAAGTGGTGGTGAGACCCCTCCTCAAGAAGCCTTCCCTGGATCCAGCCATCCTGAAAAACTACCGTCCTGTCTCCAAACTTCCCTTTCTAGGGAAGGTTGTAGAGAAGGTGGTGGCGCTTCAACTCCGACAGACCTTGAATGAAGCGGATTATCTGGATTCCTTTCAGTCTGGTTTCAGGCCTGGGTACAGCATGGAAACCGCTTTGGTCGTACTGATCGATGATCTCTGGCGGGCTAGAGGGCATTCCTCTATCCTGGTGCTTCTTGACCTCTCAGCGGCTTTCGATACCATTGACCATGGTATCCTTCTGCGACGCCTGGAGGAGGTGGGAGTGAGAGAAACCGTTCTACGGTGGTTCTCCTCTTACCTCTCCGGTAGGTCGCAGTCGGTGATGATCGGGGGACAGAGGTCGACCTCCAGGCCCCTCAAATGTGGGGTGCCACAGGGTTTGGTCCTGTCCCCCCTTCTATTCAACATCTACATGAAGCCGCTGGGTGAGATCATACGACAGCACGGGATAAAGTACCATCAATATGCAGATGATAGTCAATTGTATCTATCTGCCCTGTGCCAGTTCAGTGTAGCGGCGGATGTGATGTGCCGATGCCTGGAAGCTGTCAGGATCTGGATGGG